TAATATGTTTCCAGTAGAATTTTAATTTAAATTTTATGGTTAAACTATATAAAAAGAAATTCCTATCTTCTTTTATAAAATTTTTTGATACAGGTAACTTAGAATAGTTCTTACAAGAAAACAATAATTCAAAGCACTTGTCAAAAATCATAAAAAAATAAAAAGAAAAAAAGAGTATTAAAATATTCCATAGTCATCAATATTATCTGATTCAAATTCTATTGAAAATATGTGCTATATAATGAAATTAAATATAGCAAAAAAAATTAATTAATAGAATGTTTTAAAAATATTAATTAGAAAAGAATAGAAACAATTTTCATCTGAATCTATTAAATTGATAAATATTATATATTAATTATTATATAAAAGCTTTAATAAAATCTGAGAAAAACTATACAGTATATTGTATTGATAATCAGCATTAATAATATAGTTTTTTAAAAAAATTTTTTTATAAATTGATTTACCAGTTTAGAAAATAGAAGGATTGATTACTTATGAATAGTAATATAAATATAATATTGTATCTAAATTTTAAAATTAATATATATTATTGAATTAAAATTTTTTTAAATATAATAAATAAATAACAATTTTTTAATTTTAAAATATTGAAAATAAATTTATACATTAATAATTCAAAAATTACATATTATAAATTATAAAAATTTTTAAATATAAACCCAATTTTTTGAACCAATTTATATATAATATTTTTATATTATTATTAAAATACTTGAAACTATATATATACTGTATATCATATATTTATTTATTTATTTTATTATATTATATTTATTATATTAATTTTTTTAATTTATTTTTTTTTAATATTAGTCATTATACATAATATAACTATATTATTTTTTATATGCAAGTTTTTTATAATAATATAAAATTAAATTTTAATAGTATAAAATATATTTATTGCAATTTATAAATTTTATTTAAGTCATAAAATATTTATAATTTATATAATATTATAATGCTTTTAAATTCTTTTAAATGTTTTTACATTAAAATATTTTTATTCTTTTTATTAATTATCCAATAGCTTTATAATTACAATTGAATTTTTGATATTTAATTGAAATTCATATTTATTTTATTTTTTTTAGTTATCAATGTATCGTATTTTTTTTTTTATAGTTATACAAGCATTTTATCTTTTATTGATATCAGTTACGTAATTGTATACGATCAGAAATTATAAATATAGCGAGAAAATTTTATATAAAATATATTAAACAAATAGAAAAATAAATAGAAAGTATAGTATAGTTTCTTATATATTTTTTATATTTGAAGACGAGACATCACTTTTTAGAATTGTACAAAGTAAAAGTTGATAGAATCGTTAGTATTATCATTTTTATATATTATTATTATTGAACTTGAATCACGATGCAAAACATGTGATCACAATTATCGAGTATAAAAAATGACCTAGATACGAGTAAATAAAAATTGTCATAAAGAAAAGAGTTGGTAAAAGGGATAAGAAATATGCGGTGCTTACTCAACCAAATATAAATGCTTCTTTCTGCCGGCTGTGTCTTTGGTCGCGACTTCCCGATTTTAACGACTGGCTCGCAGTAAGCACAACAATATGCATTTCAGAGGGTACAGAAAAAAAATAAAAAAAAATTTTTTTTTTTTTTAAAAAATACCGATATTAATAGAAGCAACAAATTCAAAAGAAATAAAAATATTTTTTTCAATAAATTGCTTTAATTATATTACATATAATTCTGGCTAGCCAACATAATCTGGATTCAGAATTATAATAAATACTACTGTATATGTATATGTTTATTAGTTTAATATCGAAGGGAATTTGTAATAAAGAACCTAGTAGTTGCGACGAGCTTTTGATTTTTTAGCGGACTAAAGAAAGATTTTAACCTTTGTTTTTTTTTCTTGAGTCTACAAAGAAAGATAAGCTGAACTCATATTCGACCGAGGATACAAATTTTTAAAACGACTCTAAAAGCCAAGTTTGTTTGCCTTCGTTATTGAGGACTGTTTTCATAATCACACTCTTGTGGTCCTCCAACTGTTGTGAGATTATCTCGAAAGCAGATAGATCTTCCTTTCCACGTTGCAAATAGACGATTCCTCGGGTAAAAGTTGAGGTTAGCAAACTGCGAGTATTTTCTATCAACTCATGGACATGGTCTCTAACTAGCATCTGTAAAATCATCCCCCTGACAATTTCTCTACTTTCGGAATTAATATTATTGGCAAAATGAATAAACCGAGTATAAAGAAAGGAATCGTCCTTTAAATAAGCATCATCAATTCTTGCAGTAACTCTGGAAACAACTTCCTCTTCTATTCTTTTAAGGAATCGACTAGAAACGTCGTTAGGAACTAATTCGAACGTAATTTTATCCTCTTTAAGTCTGAATGCTAAGCCTTCGGGGACATTAAAGCTAAAATGTGAATTTGCTTCGTTCAGAATAATGAGCTCTAAATTATTTACGGGATCAAATTTTACAAGAGAAGGCTCTTCTGGACCCTCAGAAATTCCCCATAACGCAGCCACACCGGATATAATATTTACTACCTTCATAGGTAGAAGTTTGCCTACCAAACGTCTGCAGGTAACGGAACGAGTCAGATTAAATCTCAAAACGTTATTATCAATAGAAACCTCCGTTAAATTTGAAATGTCTTTACATTTACGCGCAATGAGTCGCAATAGTAAAGAATCAGATTTAATTTCTTCTTGAAGTTGAATTTCAAGATTTTCACCAGCGTAACGAAAAATTTCGTGCCCAAACTCTAAATGGAACCGGAAAAGGCTTTCGTTAACGCATCTTGTGAGTGAGGAATCTTTGATTGCATCATCACAATCATTGATTGAAGGAAGGTTTAGGGAACTGTCTTCGGTGGTAACGTTGTTCATTTTATCATCGTGACTTATATTATATTTACTGTGAGCTTCCATCAAAGACAAGGTTGATGAACGGTCGTCAGCAGTGCTAAGAGAGCCTTTAATATGATTTTCCTTGTCGTTAATAATATTATTTCCTGAACCACTCTGTTTTTTTAATAAAGCTTCGTAAAAATTTGTGTTGGCCAATAAATTGTTGTCTTTCGAAGCGAACAGGGATGATGGAGATGATAACTCGCTATCTGAAATATCAACGTCGTCATTTACACGATAGGAATATCTATCTTCAATTTCGTCTAAATCATATGAAAGAATATCATCATGATTCGGGATGCTGCTTTCCGTCGAAGAAGATTCGGGTGGAATTTGAGCATAAATAGCTAATTGTTGGGCATTGACTTCGGTGCCGCTATCTATAACAGAATTTTTCATTTTGACAAGAGATTCAAAAACTTGATAAGTATCTGGACGGTTATCTGGTTCATAATCCCAGCACCCTGAAATTTAACGAATATAATATTAATTTTTAATTATATTCGTAATATTATTATATTTTTTCATAGAAATAATTAAATGCGTACTTGAATAAAGTTTCACGTATTCATCGGGCGTTCCCATAACTTCACGTTCTCTAAGATTTCCAAGAACTAGACCCATAAAGTTGGAACTGTTTCTTTCTTCTATAAAAGGTGGGCGTCCCGACGAAATCTCCCATAACAGAACGCCTAGACTATATATATCGCTCTTGAAGGATCGATATTTTGAGTCTATGAAAAGTTGAGGGTCTATGTATGGCAATACACCATATATTTTGCTAGAGGTACTTCCCGATAATTCAGACGATCTTCTTGATAACCCAAAATCGCAAAGTTTAATTTCGCCCTGGTGAACTAGGATATTGTTTGAATGCTATAGAGAATACAAACGCGGATTATATGTTAATAGTTGGCGAGATAAGTAATCACAGTTTCTTTAAATATATATTACCAAGTCCCTGTGGATAATTTCATAATCGTGTAAGAACATCACAGCGCTTGTTAGTTGCCGTGCTAGTCTGAGTTTTTCATCCCAATCAAGAGGTTTTTCCTGCAAATATCTATTTAATGTACCACTATCCGCATATTCAATAACCATTAAATAATTGTTATCGTCTTTTTCATATTAGATAAAAAGATTTAAGTTAACGGCTTGGCACGCATTGTCAATCGAGTGATGATTCATCAGATTTACCATCTTTACAAAGCCCATAGAATTTCAAAATATTTCTATGAAATTGTACTTTTCGATGTAACTCGAGCTAAGAAAAAAAGTTAAAAATGTATAATTTGATACATTAAATACAGTAAATTTTATTTATAAACTTACTTCATTAATAAATGCT